TTATAATATATATATATATATATATAAATTAATATATATAAAAGATTATATATATTTTTTATTTAAAAGGCGACGTCGCCGAACGTTGCCTTTTTCTAATATATATATATATATTATTTTTATTTTATTATTATTTTTCGTTCCGCTCGATAGCGGGCGATCCGCGTACCGCCCGTACCGGGCGGTATCATTCGGTATTGCCTACCTGTACGGGCGGTATCATTCGGTATTGCCTACCTTGATCAAGATACACATTATTACTTCATTATATCATTAAAACATCAAGCATGATTTTATTAAACATAACACATTTCAATCAAAATTATTTTGTTTGTAATGCATTTTTCTTTTTAAATGAATCTAACTTTTCATGCTTAATGCTAGGAGTTAACATGCAATTGTCATGCTCACATTTTAATTATTATTATTTTAAAATCACTAAAAAGAGAAGCATGATATTTTATTTTATTTTATTTTTTTATTTTTTTACTAACTAATTTAAAAAACAACTCATGAAAAGCATCAAGTAATTTTAAAATAAGGTAAAAGAAATTCGTTTGAGTTGTTTACCTCATCTTTCTATTAGATGGCTAGCACACTCTGTGTTATTTCCATGTGCCATGTGGATGGTGTGCCAATACAATGCCGACAGCATAAAGTGGGAAATAGGGAGTGTTAGGATTGAGTCGGCACTAGGGGGTGGGGGTGAATTAGTGCTTACGTAGAAATCACGTCGGTTCGAAAATCTTTCGTTCGATGAAAACCGATATCGGAAAGATGAGTTTAACTTGAATGCTCGTTCGTAAGCGTAGTGAAAACAGTAAGCAAGTAAGGCAGTTTGCAGTAAAGGTAAATAGCAAAAATAGAAATGCAAACCAAGTTTTATAGTGGTTCGGTCGTCGTGACCTACATCCACTCCCGATTCCTTTTCACTCGAGGCCACCAGCTTTCGCTACCGATCTTCTTTCAATGGACGAAGATCAACTACCCTTACAACTCGATTCTACTTTTGACAGGTTCAGGAGAGAACCTTTACACCCCCACTACCTCTTCTCTTAAACTTCACAAACACTTAGAGCTTGAGAGGAGTTCTCACAATATTACAACAGCCTTTTTCTTTCTTTTTGCTCTTAGTTCTTGTGTATGCTGAGCAGGGATAAGAGGGGTCTTTATAGGCCCCAAATGGATTCAAACTTAGTATCGCCCAGTCAAGTTGTACCATCGCCCAGTTTGGTGGTACTACCGCTTGACACAGTCTTGGAGACTGTGTCTCGGAGACTGAGCCACTAGCGGTGCCACCGCTTGACCCAACTTTTGGGTCACTGAATGGGCCTTTCTCTTGGCTCAAAACAGCCCCAATTCGGGCCCAGTTGGCTTATAATTGAGTTGGCCTAGTTACATTCTAAACCAACTCAATTACGACCTAAACTAACTCAATCTAGACAAATTATTACAAAGCACGAATCATCTCTTGTCCAGCATGTCATTGGTTTTTCCGGTGCTTCGTCCGATCTTCGGCTTTCTCCGATCTTTCGGTGCATCGTCCTCTCCTTCGACGTATTGGCCAATTGGCATGTTGACACTCGCAACTTTCGTTCTCCTTGGCGCAATGTCCGATCATTCGGCCCGATGCCCAAATTCATGGCACGAAGCTTTCTGCCGACACGTCGATCGATCCTCCGGCCTGACATCCAATCTTCTGATATGTTCAACTCCGGCCCAACATCCGATTCCTTCTACTTTAATCAATTTGTCTTTTCTGATCGAAGCTAGTCTTGCGTCACTCAAAATGCAGATTAGATCATAACATTACCAATTGGTTTCATCATCAAAATCCGAGATTTAACAGTGAGAGGGTGGGAGGTGGCTGAGAGGGATGGATGGAGGGAAGGATGTTCTGATTGTTTTTTGATTTCCCACCCCCTCTGGTTCCAGCCAATTTGTTAATTGGTTTGCCAAAAAAAAAAAGAGGCTGTCTCTACCATCAAAATCAGTTGATTTGGGTCATTATTAATCCTAAACCCTACAAACTGCCCCAAACTTGAATATGATCCTGAAAACTTTGGTCATTTCATGAAGCAACTATTAGTAGTTCTTGAGACAATGATATAATATACTTGTGTGTGGGTAATTGTGTTCCTAACCTTTTGGTTTGGAGCAGAAATTAAACCGCTTCCCAAGGCACCTGAGCTCTATCAAGCTGATTGTACAGATCTATTATACATGTGCGTATAAGTAATTGTTATAGGTTGGTTATTGATTCCAATGTATACATATGGTTAAAATCTTTAATATACTAATGTATTCCCTTTTGATAAAAGTGATGTAAATATCCAGTCCCCTGACATGAAGGATGTTCATACTAACTACATCATGGTTTGCACCCTTGTTAGAGTATAAATTTTCCATCCTCAACTTCACTTTTTACCTCTTCTGCTGATAGCGTCTATATAAAACTGTAGGATCCTTTCTGCAAGATAATTTTATTATGTATTTTATTTTCTAAAACACTGGAAAATATCATTTGAAGGTGATCAAGGAATTGAATTAGAATGTGAATTTTTGTTCTTCCAGTTCGGGTCAACTTTTATGTATAAACTAGAGTAGCAAATTTGTCTCTGTATAAACGTAGCTCAATTCATTGCTTTGAACTTTTTTTCACATATAGGATATTGCAAATAGCAAAGATCACCCCCTGATACAACCTGGTTCCAGTGGATTTTTTCCATCCATCATTATACCTCAAGCAGATAATACTTGGAACTTGTTGGTAGTTGAAATAAGTATTTCAACCTGTCAATGATAATTAAATAGTCAGTACAAGTTGGGTGAGGCTTTGCTGTTTATGCATCAGATAGACACTTTGATGTCTTGTTGCAGTACATGGAAAAACTTGTAATGAAGTGCTAAAACGAAATCGACTTTGCTCAAGCCATGTGTTTATGATAGTGCTTAATCAGGACTTGGGAGTTTGAGCTCCACGATTTTAGTGCCAACTGATATCCACACTAGCCATCCATCCTTGGTTGATCCCTTTCAGCCGTTAGGAGTTGTCCGCTCTAGAGTGGGTCCTGTACATTTCATCTCTTTTAAATATTATCGAAGGATTAAATATGATCTTATTATCAGGTGCTTGCTCTTCAATTCTCCAACCATCGAAGGATCAAATATGATCTTATTATAACTTAGGTCATCTTTTATTACCCTGCAACAATATCATCTTCGTTTTGTTCCTATTCCCGACTTTGCTTTTATTTTTTGTTTTTTATCACTTTGCAGGAAATGCCACACAAAGGGAGAAAATTTTAATGTATGGTTTGTTTGCCTGCTGCTACCACCATCACTTTGTTAGTGATTTTTCGTGACCTGTTTTCTGCAATCACTAAGGAGGAGGACAACTCACAATCGAACCAATGGTGGATTTGGCATGTTGGCGAAGATGCCTCGCTGAGAGGAATTACTTGACTTCACAATTTGATCTTTCACGTGGATGTAAATTATATAATTGTCTGCAAGACCTTGAAACAATGTAGCTAATGTTAAAACAGCTTTGGGCGGCATATGAATTTGATCATCCCGAAGAAAGTTGCTCTGGTGGAACAAATACTTATATTAGTCTTCTTGGGTGGTTGATTGGAGCTGAGTGATCTAGATACTTATATAAGCAGCGTCCAGGACGTTATCTAGATGATCTAGATGACCGAGATTTAGAGCTGAGTGATCCCAATTCTAGGGCTGGCCCTGGTAGCTGAGTGATGATCTAGATGACCTGAGATTTAGAGCTGTTCCGAGGTGGAATCGTATCTTACCATATCTTGCAGTCGTTTGCCGTGGCATGTAGGTGAATTGATATTTTACATCCTTGGTTGTTTTGGGCTTGCAATTTGTGCTTTTTATCTTTTTTTAATGTAAACACAATATGGCTAGTCAAATTGGAAAAGACTTGGGATTTTAAGGTCTTGGGATCAAAGACTGTCTGTCACATGATTTTTAATGTAAACACAATATGACAGTCTTGGGATCAAAGACCGTCTGTCACATGATTTTAAGGTCTTGCGATCAATTTATCCTTTTATTCTATAATGTGTCATGTCGCACACTGGCTGGATACAAAATCCATCCAGCTATTTGGGTAAGCCCGATCATCATGGGTATAATGACCCTCTTTCTTGTTCCTACTCAAGGAATCTTTGGGCACCAAATGTTAGGAAGCCGACATCTCATCACCCTCACATCCACCCACCCAGAAAACTGGCGTTCACTGCCTCGTCGAGGCCGCCTCCACGTATAGGGTGCATGATGCATGTCGCCACTCTTTCTTCTGCCTTGTTCATCCTGTGACGCGAGAGTAGAGCCAGCCAACCTAATATGCCAAAATTATGGACCCTGGCTTTGCCATTTCGGGTCATCAGAATCGAAGATATAATCATAATACTCCGCTCGACAAAGAAATTTTCTAGATTATCTCAACAATATCATGTCTAAGATAATAAGACCGAGTCTCTGACACATGACGAGTGCGCGCATTCACAAAAAAATCCGCAGGATCAGTAGATATACAATAAAATCTCATGAAGGTGGAGAGATGAACGAACTATGCCACGATCGACGTGAGGGGTGGGTCACTGATGGTTGTCCTGCCCTGGTTTTGTGTTGAGAAGTGGCTGAAGTGCCTTCACCACGATCGTCATGTTCGGACGGAAGTCTGCCTCGTACTGCACGCACAACGCTGCTACTGCGGCCAGCTGAACACCAGAGAGAATACCAAGTCATGCAAATGCGTACGTACAACCTTTCGGATACTTTCTTCACATCCTTTTTGACTTCCCCCCGTCCCAGGAATGGATTAAAAATATAAAATTATAAATCACGTTAAGCTAAGCTTTCAGATTTTAAATTATATTTATGCTGAAGCCTAATCAAACTTGCTTGTGAGTGGGGATGTTGGATTTTAGTATAGATTGGCATCAGTTCCCTATAGTTTCAGAGATCGAGACAACCATCACTCGATCTAAGTGTTTATCGGTTGCTGACGATGAAAAATCACAATGGAAGCTAATCAGAGAGATGTAGAAGCCAAACCTTGGCGACGGCTTTGGGGGGGAAATCGTTCTCCAGCTTCGGGTCCACGCACTGCTTAACCTTGTCTTCGCTCAACCTTGGAGTCGCCTGCAGGTGTGTGATGCAGCAGATTCAGGAACATGCAGTAGTAGCGTCAGCGTTACTTGTAAATAGCATCAGGTAAAACTTACCCAAGTGACAAGACTCTGTTGTCCCTTTGGCATGGTGTGATCTACAGGTTTTCTCCCCGTTAGCAGCTCCAGAAGGATGACGCCAAAACTATAAACATCACTCTTCTGTGTCAGCTGCCCGGTCATGGCATACCTGCAAGTCAGAAAATTATTAAGAATTGAGTTATCATGCCATGCTTCTAAGGCAACATAACGAAGCCAATATATAATAACCTTATAAAGTTTGAAGATAGCATATTTCTCATTACAAATTCTGATGCAGCATATATATCTCTCTAAATGTCGAGATCCTTCACACATACTATTGTCATGAACATCTATCTATTCAGCAATTCCAAATCAAGTAAGCACTTTTTATCATGATCAACATTAGTTTATTTAATTTCAACAAGTACACAAAAATATAAAATATCAGAAGTGCCCTTGATGTTTAGAGGGGAATAAGAAAATCACTGATTTTAGAGGGTTACGTTAGTACTTTTGCCTAAAAGGAAATAAGAAAGTACAAACAAAGGATCTTCTATTTTATATGTTTACAAGAAAAAAAGACTGTATAGATCCTATAGATGATATGCCCTACACATTCCAAACTCAATTTAAAAGCATATATATATATATATATATAGCTCAAAAAACTACTCAGCTGTCTCATGTGGTCAACACATCATCATTTTTAAGACTAATGGCATTTCTGCTAATTATCTTGCACCTGTTTGCATCATTTATGAATGGTTCTTTCCATTAACTAAAGTAGAGATAGGAGTGCAGAACTTACTCAGGAGCATGATAGCCAAAAGTCCCCAACACTCGAGTAGAATGCAGACGAGCCGCCGTATCAGGAGACTGGTTTGTCAGATTAAAATCCGCAATCTTGGAAGCATAATCATCAAAGAGAAGAACATTGCTGGATCTGACATCCCGATGAACAATCGGAGGCTGCACTTTCTCATGAAGATACTCGAGGCCTCTTGCTGCACCATAAGCAATCTTCACTCTTTGGCTCCAGTTAAGGAGTGGACCAGGTTCAGCACCTTGCACACCTTTCCTCCCTGTTCAGGAACAATGCAGCCTCACATTAGCCAAAGAGTAACTATATGCAAGAAAGAGATCACAGGATACATATCATCATGGTATACCATGCAAAGTGTCATGTAAAGATCCTTTTGCAGCAAACTGATACACCAATATCCTGTTATTTGCTTCCAAACAGTATCCCAACAACTCAAGAAAAAAATCATTCTTAAGTCTGGAGACCATCGATAACTGCAGCAGCAGCATTGTTAAGAAGAAAGGATCAGATCAGTGTACAATTAAGGATAGACAAACAATATGTACTTATCTAATTCATGTACATACCTGAGCAGCAAAATCAGAATCAGGATCATTTGAGGCACTAGGATCCAGCTTCTTTATCGCAACAGGTTCTCCTGTACTCAGAGTTGCTTGGTAGACTTGTCCATAAGATCCTTCTCCGACCAAAGCCTTCTGACCAAAATTACTGGTCAGTCGATTCAGCTCAGCCAATGGTATGGCTGGTATTTCGATCGGCAGCACCTTTGCAGGTGCCCCACTTTTCATTGTACCAGGTCCCCTTGGATCTCTGCCTTGACCTAAATCAGGGGAGAGCAACAACAAGATGTAAACTCAACTGGCAAATATTACCTGCAAGCACCCAAAAAAATCCCCAAACAGCCACTCCAAAGAGCAATTGATCTTTCAGAATCAGTAAAGAAGTTACTTATGAGTAGATCTAGCTGATTTGTGAATAAGAGTAATGAGTCCTTGGAGTGATGCATAAAGCATCTCATTAGGTTTGACTATGAGGATGCTTTCATGTCCATACTATACTTCCAAGAGATTATTGTAAGGCTGCATTGCAATTCTCAAATCCTATATGAGATGGCAACATACCTTCACCATCAATATGCATCTTTGGTTTTGCAGTTAGGCCATGTAACATATGTTGCATCCAGATTATGGTAGCCATTCACTGAATGTTGGATAACTTACGACATTTCTAGTACACAGCTAGAACCCTAAACTTCCATATTGGCAACTGATAGGAATGTGCCAAGAAAGACTTAAGAAGAAGGACTAAAAGGAGCATATTGAGATGGCCCTTTTATGTTGCAAAATCCAAGAACAAACAGAACAATATATAAGCTTATTGAAAATTGTTGTCCACAACAAACTAAATATCGCTAAGCATGTTCATTGGGTGGTACCTCACTGCTTATTTTCTTTTCTCTTAGATATCAAGGCTGTCCTCTGATACTAACTAAACAGCAACCAAGAATGTGTCACCTCAATACTTTTCAAGTTAACTTAAGAAAACCTCCAAAGAACAAACAATCAATTGCCATGTTGTTCCTCATTTTAACAACCATTGATTTCAATACCACCTTAATGCCTCATTTTTGAAAATTGGTGTTTCCACTAAGTGGTTATACAAATTAGTTAGCCTAGACAATTACTAGTTACCATGTAAATTCATAACATCATCTCGCCATACTAAAATTATATATATATATATATATATATATATATATATATATATATATATATATATATATATATATATATATATATATATATATATATATATATATATATATATATATATATATAT